CTAAAACGGCACGTGCCTACACTGTAGAGTTTACAGTTATAATGAATATTAGGTGAAAGCAATTTTCAAAAACACAAATTATCATAACTTTCTGATAAAATAATCTAAAATAATAATCGTAAAGATTTTAGTCTGCATTCAGGCGAATTTAACAGAATTAAAAGTACAAATGTTTACGTTTTGTGTATTGGGGTCCGAGAAAGGGAAAACCAACTAATCATACGTTATCGCGGCAAACGTCAAACAAAATATTTTTCTGCACAGTTAAAAAAAATTAGCATTTCAAATTGCAACAATGTTTATAAGTCAAAGATGTATTTTTAATGTTGAGTTTACACTATTTTTTTTCTTTGAAAGCGACGGAAAAATGAGAAATGATAACAAGTATCATCAAACCTGTCGAATAGAACCTTCGAGAGCCCTGCGTGAGTGTCGCCGAGTTCCCGTTTCTTCCTTATCCAGCGATTTTATTAATCCCCAAACTAAATTTTAGTCATGAAAGTTGCTTTTTCAAGTTCTATTTTCAGTTTCTTTTTCTTTTTGGTCGACTTGGTCAATGTAGCAGGCCTACCGGGATTTCCTCTCTAACCATGCTGTTTTGTTTATGAAAACTACGCATGCGTGCATAGCATGGAATGTGGAACCCCGAACACGTTGCGATGTATATATTTACGTCCCATAAATAACTATTAATTTTAATGAAATAATCCAAATTATTTAATTGTAAAAGTTGTAATTTTCTGAAAGTTTATACATTTATGAGTAGTAAAAAAATTCCAAATCTTGTCGGAAAATTTTATCTAGTCAGTTTTTTGATGAGATGCGCCGTACTGTCACTTTAAAAAATGTAGACTAATAGATTTAAATTACACGAGGCCTCACATGTCAATTTAAATAGTCCCCGCCCACTGACGTCAAACACAAAGACAGCGGCACGAGAATTACTTAAGGAATCACTGTCTAGTTAGTAGAGTATGCCAGGGCATCAACGATAGTTGGAAACGTGGGATAATTTGCATAACGGGCGAAGCCCGTTAAGCATAAATTATCCCACGTTTCCAACTATCGTTGATGTCCCTGGCATACTCTACTAACTAGACAGTGATTCCTTATATTTCCATTTCATTTTGAAATAAAATTGTAAATTTAGATTTTAAAAATGTAGACTAATAGATTTAAATTACACGAGGCCTCACATGTCAATTTCAATAGTCCCCGCCCACTGACGTCAAACACAAAGACAGCCGCACGAGAATTACATGCATATGAGGCCTCCTAAGAGTCAGACACAAAGACAGCCGCACGAGAATTACAGGCATATTAGGCCTTCTTAGCCCCTGACCTTTCGCTTGGCGAAATTTGCATTCCGGTGGAATGATCAAGAAATCGACTCTCCTAACTTTCAAAGAATTATCACAGAGAAAACAAATCGAAATGGAAATATATGCATATTAGGCCTCCTTAAGAGTCTGACACAAAGACAGCCGCACGAGAATTACATGCATATTATGCCTTCTTAGCTACTGACCTTTCGCTTGGCAAAATTTGCATTCCGTTAGAAAGATCAAGAAATCAACTCTCCTAACTTTCAAAGAGTTATCACAGAGAAAACAAATAGAAATTGAAATATTATTAATAAAACATTGAAGCAATATCGTTAATTATTTTCCTCATCACAATATCACAATATTTATTATGTATACTTTGCATGCAAGCATATAATTTTTATTTCAAAAAGAGATTGATGATTTTTTTTGGGCGGTGGGGGGTGGGGTGGGGGTGGGGGTAGAAATAGAGGATATTCAATGTTTTGTAGTTGATATGGAAATTATTTCAATAGTGGGACAGGTTTTTTTTATATTTTCACGAGTGAAAATATCAAAAATCCTGTCTCACGATACAATAAATATTTCTAGGCATAATTTATGCTTGAAATACACCTTAATTAATGCGTATCATATTGTAAACTTTAGATATTAAACTTTCATTCTATCACAAACATGTCAACTGTTTTTACTATTGTCAAAGTGAGGCATGTGAATTTCCTACATGCACTACATTTCAGCCTGGTGACCTTCATCTTTTTATTGTGGCTTCCGTAGAATAAAGAGCCCCAAAAGTTTTTTATTCTATCACATTGATAATAACGCTTAAAATACATATTGTACGTGAGATTTCATGCCAAATTGGTAAATTAAAATGTTTCTTTCTTTTTATAAACAAAAGAAATATATAAATTATTAAGTGATAAGTACAGTATTAGTTCTTGAAATTCATCATATTTATTATTGCGGGGAAGGAGGGATTGATGATAAAAACAACGTGAATTTATTTTTTAGTCAGACATTGAATTTTGATCTTGCCCTGCCCCTTTAAAACGATAAAAATGAACTGGTATTTCTTAATTGTTAACAGGCAAGGAATTTTCAAAATATGGGTGTTAAAGCCTAACAAATGGTATCATATCGACATTAGTAATTCGGAATATATGAAATAATGGGATTATTTCTATGCATTTTTTATTGCGACAAATATTACGCAAAAATTATCATAATTTTAACATAGTCAAGAAAGCTTGAACAGGCCAGTTAAATCAGCCAGAAAATATCATTTTTTTTTTCTGATCTCCTTGTACAAGTTGACAACATTTTGACGTTATATCCATTCCATTTGAAGATGACACTAATTCTAATTTGCAATTTTAAGGTATAACACAACAACATGAGGCGGTCATAAGTTTCCGTATATTTGTCTTCGGTCTTTTCAATGAACAATACTAATCAAAAGCATAACACAAAAACTAGTATACTGTTGTTCCATAAAATCTTTATCAGGCACACTTCAAACAAATTTGATCGGCTGGTTTCTGTTTATTTCCTATAAATAATAGTACATGTATATTCTTTACTTAGATATATCAACTCTTTAGATCAATTTTTATCTCGTTATAACGAGATAATTATCTCGTTATAACGAGATAACTAACTCGTTATAGCGAGATAACTAACTCGTTGTAACGAGATACTAACTCGTTATAACGAGATAACTAACTCGTAATAACGAGATACTAACTCGTTATAACGAGATAACTAACTCGTTATAACGAGATAACTCACTCGTTATAACGAGATACTAACTCGTTATAACGAGATAATTATCTCGTTATAACGAGATAACTCACTCGTTATAACGAGATACCAACTCGTTATAACGAGATAACTAACTCGTTATAACGAGATAACTAACTCGTTATAACGAGATAACTAACTCGTTATAACGAGATAATTATCTCGTTATAACGAGATAACTAACTCGTTATAACGAGATAACTAACTCGTTATAACGAGATACTAACTCATTATAACGAGATAACTAACTCGTAATAACGAGATACTAACTCGTTATAACGAGATAATTATCTCGTTATAACGAGATAACTAACTCGTAATAACGAGATACTAACTCGTTATAACGAGATAATTATCTCGTTATAACGAGATACTAACTTGTTATAATGAGATACTAAGTCGTTATAAGGAGATACTAACTCGTTATTACGAGATAATCATCTCGTTATAACGAGTTAAATTTTTTTTTTCTTTTCAAAAATGAGCCTATCCGGCTTTCGTAAATTTACGTGCAAAATGACATTTAAAAAATCCAAGGCTTAATGTTTTAGCACATAAGTCACACTGTGACACATTCGAGCTCGTAATTAATTCCTGGAATTCTTTGAAAATATGAGGAACTTCATCATTATTTCCACTCAAGACACATCTATATAAATGTTTGAAAATGTAGGTTTTGGTCGAGAAGACAACTAGGCTTTGCTTGAAGATATATTTTCCTGGTAAGTCAGTGTCCTATATGTTATTTTTTTTTTAAATTTAATTTAGTTACAGAAATAACTGCTACAGGCTTTTCAATTTTATTAAAATCAGGGAGGGTGTCAATCTTTTTTTTTAAAGTAATGACTAAATTACAATAACTTCAGATTTTCAAAGTAATTCATTACAAACTGATTACATCCACTATTTAAAGTAAACGATTACATTAGATTATTTTCCGTCGTGTAGCCATGATTACCTTTGAATACTCTTAATTTCATTGTTATTTTATTTTATTTCCAGGAAAGAATTTATAATGAACATTTCATTCTGAAATCGATTATCATTTACTCACTTTTTCATCACATTTAAATTTGGAAGGCAGAGTTTGGACAAAGTTGGTGTACATGTTCATAGATATTAAAACGGTTTTATCCGATCCTCAGAGTTTTGCCTAAGATATATATTTCCGTGTTTCTATGGAAGAAGTACTCTTTCTACTTACAATTACTTGTAATCGAAAAATGGTCCGATACTTATTACTCATGATTATTCAGCAACTTGTAATCGATTACAGTTGACTGTCATCTTTAATTTCAATTACTCATCTTTGATTATTATTCACATACAATTACAAATACTTTCAATAGTATTTGTTATCAAATATTCCCATTTGTATACAAATCTATTATATCATGTTGTAATAATTTTAATAGAACTGCATGTAAGTGATATCGATGCCTTCTGAATATTTTTTTCGCTTACATACATGTAACAATGTTCCCCCTATCCTTCCAAATATTGATAATGATAATAAGAATTATAACAGTTTTGAGCAGGTCTGATATCTTTGTATGTCTAACGACTCTCTCTCTCTCTCTCTCTCTCTCTCTCTCTCTCTCTCTCTCTCTCTCTCTGAGATAAATTTGAATTACGAACAAAAATCCGAAGAATTTATGAAATATAATCTTCAATGTCTTCCTTTCACAGTTTACATTTCAAACCCAATATTACTTAGCGTATATGCTAATTTAAAGTGAATATGTTTAATTTTACTTAAGAATTTCAAAGATTTGAAGAAAAAAATTCCCAGACACAAACATGCAGTAGGTCTTAGAAATTTTTTTTATCAAATTTCTTCTGTTAATTGCAGTGATTATTTTTACAGGTCCAAAGGTCTTTTTGTCTACAAGATGAAGGGAGTAGTCATTATTCTGCTGATCACGTGTCTGGTTCTTGTTTCCTGTTATGGTCAGTGCATTTTATTTAATTCATTTTACTAAGGTACTGTAGAAGTATTTTTTTTTCGTCCGCGTGGTGTTAATTTACGCTATTCATGCGGTCACAAATTTTCCGCGGGAATTTGTTTCCAGCGAACTTAAAGTCAATGCAAGGCGTAAAGTAGCAATTTAAGAAATCCATTAAATTAAACAGAAGTTGTGGTTCCGCGGAATTATGAACCCCGTGGAAAAAAGTACGTTTACAGTATAAAAAGTATTTAGCGTTGTGCTGTAGTTCTCTCTGAAGCTACAGAATACAACGTAATTAGTATTCCTTTAAATTCAAACCTGCGGGTATAAGAATATTATCTCTATTAAAATAAAATACGTGTATACAACCAGCATATTCTCAATTTAAAGAATACCCTAACCACAATGGAAAAGATAATGGCGGCAAAAGTAATGAAGACAGTGGAGGTGATGACAGCGGCTGCGTTGGAGATGATAATGGCTATAACGGTAACAATCACAATGGTGGCAACCACAACGGTGGCAATCACAACGGTGGCAACCATAATGGTGGCAATCACAATGGTGGCAATCACAACGGTAACAATCACAACGGTGGCAATCGCAATGGTGGCAACCACAATGGTGGCAACCACAATGGTGGCAATTACAACGGTGGCAACCACAATGGTGGCAATTACAACGGTGGCAATCATGGTAAGCATAATGGAGGAACAAAACGATAGTGGCAAAGGACAAGGACAACGAACATAACAAAGACTATTGATTTACTATGAACAGTGAAACAAAGTATTTGATATTTTGTAGCAAATGTCTGGATATTGGTAATGCGTTAACAAGGGACTGATCCTTACTTTATGACGCTTTCATAATCATTTTTATCCACTTTTCACTGAAATTATTTTTTTTTCCTAAAGAGGTTTTTTTTTATAATATTCATTAAATGTAATAATAACATTACAATGAACATTGTTATTATTTGAAGAAAGGCAATTCGACAATTAATGTGCCTAAGCATATGGCTTGAGATATAAAACAAAGTTGTGTATACGTAATAAGAATGTAATATTAGCGTTAATACATGTATTAAGTGTTTTTTGGCGAAATGTGTGTTTTCGTGCCTTTGGCGTAATTCATCGTACACTAATTTGATAAAACAGCAAGAATATTATTGCAGGTATCTTAAGATTATGATATAACATTCACAAATAAAGTAGGCATCTAAGTCACAGAAAAGAGTAAAGAACATTAATTCAGCGGACATCAATTGCTAAACAATGTCTTTATTGAAACAATTTACATAAATATGAGTCAAAAATGATTATTTTCACATTTTAAAGGAGAATTACAGTTGTACATGTATTTAAGGAATGAATTTAATAGCTACCCAATTTATACGGTATAAAGTTGGTTGGGGCAGTTTACGCTTTATAAACCACCCATAAAAAATGACTTCAAATTGTACAAAATTTAAATGTAACGTCAGGCGGATCGATACGTTTTTGACGCAAGTCATTGTGACGTAGACAACCCAATTTATACAATTTAAAGTAAATTTTTTATCCAATCAAATTGCGCATTACAATCAGAATTATTTTAAAATATTTCAGGTTAAAAAAAATTGTATACTATTTTTTTTTAAATGTGGCATTTTTAAGAGATGTAAACATGGTCAAAACAACATAACGCAGTCTTGTCTATAATTATCTATTGTCTATAAGATAGAGTGCTACGTATACTTGTAAAACTGTTGAAGCTTTCGGCTATGATCAATAAAATTTTCATTTTTAATCATTTTTTGTTATATTCTTATATATACTATGAAAGAAAACGAAACACAGGTTTTAATAAAATCAAAACATCAGTATATGAAATATGTTTTGATATAAAACAGTAACACAAAACATTACCAATAAATCAACACTGTATAAACTGATAAGCAGATTTTTTTAAGCGAAGATTCAATTTTGGCTTTATGTGCGAGAGTAATTATGATCGCTAAAACTGCATATCGCTAATGATTCATGCAGCATGAAGGAGGTAGAAGTTAAAGAGGTTTGTCCGAAAATGTCGTCAGCTCAAGGATCATATCTTTTACAGAAATTAACGCATCACTATAAAATTTTCTAAGCGGATAAAATGTATTGTTAGTTGTTTAAACATGACTACTTCAAAGCAATTCGAGTAATTAGAATTGTGGTGTTATCGTTACCAATCTCCGGTATAAAGAAGATGAACGTCACTGGTAATAACGATGTTTTGGAAAATACACTTACTCTCAGAGTCAAATTCTTTAATCTATCATACAGATTCGGCAAATAAATATAAATAGCTTAATTATTAGGGAAATAATTTATTTTTAAAACATAAGAACAAAGTTTGTACAAATAAATGTATCGAATAATAATTTCTAAAAAAAAAAAAAAAAAAAAAAAAAAAAGAAAAAAAAAAAAAGAAAAAAAACTATAGTTCTAACGGTTTTTCGCCTGTCTTCACTTGAGTAATAAAGTTTCACCCTTGCCCGATTCCTTCTTCTAAACACCGTTTCAGTCATTTTCAAAGAGTAAGACCTGAACACTTTTCCATGTGTATCAGTGATTTATGGCTAATGCCTTTCTATAGGAGTGAATTCAATATAAAGTCCAGTGCGCCGCCTGTTTTAACGCAGCAGCCGTTTTCAACTTCAACTTACTCCTCCATGGCACCTGATCCCATTCTAGAATTTTTTTTTTTTCGTACAAAAGTCAAGGACCGTTTTAGGTCATCATTTAGCCATATTAAAAGGCCCTTAAATATGTTAATTTCCTTCTAGATAAACTGTTCTGAAACCTTGCCTCGAACCTTCCTTCCATTATTAAGGTCGGAGGTACATGATATGTACGCACTCAGTTCCAGGCTACTCTGTTTTCGCAATCATAATGCATTTTTTCTTTAAAAATCGTTTTGGCTGTCCTAGACGGATTAAGTTCTTGGAAATAATTAATGTGAAATCACCATTGTTCGCGAACCACTTTTCGTGGATTTCATGGGTCACCCTTACCAACGATTTAACATCCCCAAGAAGAATTATTTTGTCAAGGTATCAATTCATTGAATTTTCTGTATAAAACGAATTACTCACGAATTAACGTCCCCACGAACCACCAAGATTTGCTTGCCCATGAACATTAACCCCCCCCCACACACACACACACACACACACAAATAAGAGAGATTCCACTATAGATAGTTTTCGTATGACGTATTTTCCCTGCGAGTTACTTCCCTTGGCTGCCACCTTGGTGGTCCAACTAGCATATTATCCTCTTCGAGCAATCAATTTTAAACATATTTTGCAGAAATATAGGGGCAAAAATCTTTAAAATACTAAAAATACGAATTAAAGGAAGCTTGTGTTAAATAACAGAAATATTGTGTTATCTTTACCCAATTGCCCAGTATGACAAGATTAAATTGGTAGACTATAATGAAGGAATTTGGGCTTGTATACCTCCAATATGGCGGCCAACGGGAAATAACTCTTGCTAAAAAGAGTCTATCGAAAACTATCTACAGACTGATTTTACTTTAGTGGTGTTTAATCACACACAAATCGATTCAAATATAATCTTCAAAAATAAAACGTCAATAAATGCTGAGAGTTCGATTTTATTTTATGCTATTTTAAAAAAAATGGCTTTTTTCTGTTTACATGAGACACTTGAAATAATCATGATTTGGAGTAGTGAAGCAAATGCTAAACATTTTTCACTGTCTATAATAATTTTTGTATGGCATAAATTGTACCAGATATTTCCATTTTAATGAGGATAAAAATTATATTCGAATTTTTTTTTTTTTTTTTGCCTGTTATGCAAAAAATTCTGTATCATTATTAATTAGGTATGACATAAGTATACTTCTTGGAATTCTGTTTTTATATTTTGATATCCAAATATAGAGGCCAATTTACTAGAGTATTAAATTTTTTGCTGATAATGATGACGTTAGCTGAGATGACAAAAATATTCAACTAATAAGAATTTTGAAAAAAAAAGTATCATATATAATTGGAGAACTCTGATTGAACTGGTTTCACTTTGAATTCAGTTTTAGGTAAATAGATCAATTGCCTTTGTTCATGTCTCTGACCTCTGAATTATTTCTGGTAAATATTTAATTTTTTTTCACACTAAGATTAATTTTATTATTAACAAAATATAACCAGAAAAAACTCTTTTGATTATATGACAAACGAGATGACTTCAGCTTTTCCGTCGTCAACTTCCCTTATTTATGTAGTAATATTCCGCTATCACCTGCGTATGGTGTTTACGTCTACCAGCTTATTCCATACTCAAAAGCATGCTCTGAGTACGATAAGTTTTTAAACCGAGACAGGCTACAGACAGATAAGTTGATGTTCCACGGAATTTCAACAACCTTGATTAAAGTCAGTATTTCATAGTTTTTATGATCGTTGTAATGACCTTGTTATTAAATATAACCTATCATTGGGTCGTATTTTGGCTCACGTGTTTCATACTTATTGTCAGGCCTTTGTTTTTATACTAAATTTGACTATGGAATGTTTCGTCTACCTGATCAGTACATATGGGTCACGGTGGATGACCGGTCAACAGGAGATGTTAACTCCTCCTAGGCACCTGATCCCACCTCTGGAATTTCCGGGGGTTCGTGTTTTATGCCCTATTCACAGATTTGTATTGTTAGTAGTTTGTTTCGAGATCAATCACTGTTCGTTATCTTCACCTTTCTAATTGATAATGAAATATAACGAGAATGGACTTTTGTTGCTTAACATAGATAAACAAATTTAGTTTGAAGTTACAAAACATTTACGATAGAAATTCTAAACTTTTTATAGCCTTGATTTACTTATATTATCCATACTCTGCTGGTATTTAAAATATATGAGGTCCGTGAACAATTTCTTGACATACGTTGTCTGGATTTTTTTTAAAGAAAAATTATTCTTCATTGCATTTCATTCAATTATTGTAATAATAAATGAGTCTGAACACTTAATATTTAAAAATATTATATTAAAAACAGATATAAACTTAACTTTCAGAATAACGGCATATATATATATATATATATATATATATATATATATATATATATATATATATATATATATATATATATATATATATATATATATATATAAATTTAAAATATATATATAGAGAGAGAGAGAGAGAGCACAAAGAAATTCACTTTTCTAACGATACCCACTTCCGCCCCAACCCGGGGTTGAACTATCGACCTACGACATCTGTCTCCTTGCAGTACAAGAACAGCACGTTAGACTGTTCGGCCATCTAGGCAAGTCAAAAAACTTGCTTTCGATGCCGATGGAATTCTCGCGGCGCTATCCTACACTACACGGTTATTGAGAATGGAAGTGAGATACAGTTATTTGGACATTAGTTTTATTAGAGGATCGTTACCGATACACATTGTAATGATATATATATATATATATATATATATATATCTATATCTATATCTATATATATATATATATATACAAAATATTTTGAACAGTAATCGTATGTACATGTATGTCTAATGATTCTTCTCTCTCTCTTTCTCTCTCTCTCTCTCTCTCTCTCTCTCTCTCTCTCTCTCTCTCTCTGTTTATAACAAAAAATATGGAAAGGAAACGAAAGAAAGCATGAGATGAAACAGTAACAAAATTACACTTTATGTGGTACATGTATCCTTTAAAATACTGAATTGTTGACTCTTTACTATTAAATGTCAGCAAACATACAAGAAGTTCCTCAACAGATTATATAGTTCCTCCCAGGGAAATACATGTACATTTAGAGTTCTATGTATCATCAATTGCCATGTATTGTAATGATTTTTTTTAGTTTAAG